AGAAATATCCAAAAAACTGGAAAAATAGAAATAACAAGTTACAGCAGTGGAACAAGGAGGAAAATGCAGATTCCAATGTCATACTATCAGAAATGTTCAAAGGGAAAACAGTTTCAACAAGTGTACTGCCTTAATTGTGATTTACAAAACCACATGCAATGAAATGATAGATATAAAAAAAGAGATATTACACATTATAAAGACATTTATGTAGCCAACACAAAACAAAGTGGTATCTGGGATAACAAAAAAAAAAGGTAATTCCAACCAGAATTATGCAAAAATAGTAGTTTTGGCAATAATTATTAACAGTTAAAGCATGCGTAGTGCCAAGGAGATTTCTCCTGTATATGACATTAAAATATAAAGTATAAAATTATGTTTACGTAGGTGATATAGGCTTGTTATTAAGTGCAGAATTAATAAAGGAGAATCCAATATTGCTAGATAATGCATTGAAAGAAGTTTGCTAAAGTATATTAAACTCTAGCACAAAACACCAAGCTAAAAGTTCTGGGTAGTATTTTGAACAAGCAGAAGGCAGAAACTTGCAGTTTAAACTTTCTTTATATCTTTGCAGGAGTACATAATTTTTGAAAAATATATCATGCCCAAGGGACAAAATGATAGAAAATTTTATTTATCCCCTCCCTCTCCCAAAAACAAAAAAACTATTAACTTTGAGGATTTTGCATACTTTTCTGTTGCTTCCATAACAATTGCTATGAAATCAAATGTGAGTTATTTATTAAATAAAACCATTACATATTATTACTCAAAAATCTAAAAAAAAAACCTTTATTATTTATTTCAAATTTTACAGAGTCTTTATTTTTGGACCAAAAACTTTACATCCATAGGCCTTTTTAATCAAAACGATGCATATTCATCAATACAATACCATAGACAGCTGAATTTTGTCAGGAATGGCATATATTGCATCTTGTGTCTAAGTTCTTATATATATATATATTTTCATTCAGGCATTTTATGATTTTTAAGATTTAGCTATTAGGATTTTAAAGAACAGCATGTTGAAATTCCCACATACAAACTGATAAGTAAATCACAGTTTACATTAACAGTGTCATGTATGAAATACTACTTAATATATAACAGTTTAAAGCCTTATGTAATTTTTATTAAGTTATACATTCTTCTTAGAGTTGGCTGTCACATTTCGCTGAGCTCATACTGTAGACAAAAGCAGTATAATAATATTTTTGGATCAATTTAAATATATTTGTTACTTTGTATGCAACTGTGGGTTTGTGGATTAAATGGATATGTATATTTGTGTATCTAGGTTTCATTTGAGGTTTACAGATGTGCATTTTTAAATGTTTGTGTGTATGTGGCATAATTCAGGAATTTGTTTGGCTCCCTAAAAATCGACCTTTTTTTTGGCAATAGATCAAACAAAATGGGACAAAAAATATACATGTCCAACAGCCAAAGAACAATGATAAAATTTGTTGTCCTCAAACAAATCTTTCTGTCCTGAGAATCAGGCAATATGAATTCCACACCTCTGCTGTGAAAAGATCTTCAAAGTCACATGGTATTTTGGCTCAGCACTTTACAAGAAAGTATGACACTGCCTGATCTATTACTTAGGGTAGTTAACGACTGAAACAGATTGAGAAAATTTTAAAGAAATTACACCTTCCAATTCATATACTAATATAAAGTCTCATGACCAGTTAAAACCACTACTGTTTTCAGTCTAATGCCAGAATTAGTATATAATCTCATGACCAGTGAGCATTACAGTAAGGAGTAAAGTGTGTTTGACTAAGGTTTGAGATAGATGAACTATATTAGTTTTAGGACATCCTATTTCATATTCTAAATTACATATTTGAATTTTAAAGACAATTCTATAATCACATTTATCATTACTAAGAATTAAACCTAATCTTTCATCTCAACTTCTATCATATATAACACACATGAAGCTCAAGTGGGATTGTGTAATTCCACATGACTGTGCTACTAACCGGATCCTTTGTTTACACAAAGCTGTCCCATATAATAAATAGCTACTTCGTACTCTGAGAAGGTTTAAGTGAAACTATAAAGAAATAAAATTAAGTAAAAAATCTATTAGGGATTTATATTTGTCAAGCCATTTCTGTGGTATCTTAGTTCACTAAGAGATGGCAACAAACTCAAATTTTGTCCTGAAATATATTTTGAATTTGTAATTCCTTTGATAAATGTCAACAAATATGGCCACTCACATGAAACAGAGAAATGTGCATGGTGCAGATGAAAGTATAATTAGTGATATTTTTTGGAAGATTCATCTGATGAGATTAATGAAGGTTGAGAAGACTTGATTTAGTCATGCATCTGGCAAAATCACTGCTCCCACAAGGGAGCATCCACATGACACCAAAGTCCACATTCAAGTCAGCAAAGTTGAGTAGACTATTATAAAGGCATTTCCCTGACCTCACATCTGAAACATAAAAAAAGATCACAACAAAAGGGTGTGTTGAGTATTACAAGGGAGGTAAGTGAATAAAAATCTGAGTACTGTGGCTAAATTGCTGCATCGACCTCTGCCCAGTACCGTACATTCAGGCCATACCATATAAAGTCAAACTATCAGATAAGTTACGTGAACCATAAGTCATAACTGACCATCAGTTCAAATAGTTAACTTCTAAATAAAGAAAATCTTTATAACTAAGACCTACTAAAAGGTGAATTATTGTCCTGTAAAGTACCTACTTAAGGGAACAACATAACATAGGAATAAAAAAGCATGCAAACATTGGATTATCATACTCATTTCCCAGTTGAGAAACTATATTGGCTTGTTGGATCACCACTTTTAGGATAATTTGTGATCTTGTCCACTGTTCTTGGATCAAGTTAAAAAGATTGAATTTGGACACTGTTCTTCACATTTGTAAATTGTGCACAAGGATAAGGAAAGTTTTATAAAACCTAATAGTTTGGTTAATACATCTTGACAGAATATAAAGTCACTGTAGTGTTGATTGTGTCATAATTAGGTTACATAAACAAAAGATTTGTGAGTTTGGTGATTTCTAATATGAAGCAAACATTTCAGTAGAAAAATTGTTTATCCATCCTTATTAGAATAATAAGTTTGTTCCATAATTAAAATTTCACAGACTCATGTTATAAAAGCTTAATCACCAATGCTTTTACGGTTGTTCATGATCCTCCAATAAGTCTGAATAATATGAGTTAGAATTCGTATGTAACTTATCAAAATCTCTAGTCATTGCTAATAAAAAAATTATTACTCATCTTTATAAATACAATATTTTACTGTAATTTTCAATACTTCACATATTAACCTGTTTTATGAAAAGGCTAACTTGCACACCTTGTTATTCAATATAACAGAAACAAATAGCAAAATATTTAATTCATGTATATACTGTACAATCGAATGCTTAATACAAGATATGCATAGAGCTGTGCATGCAAGCTTAATCATGGGTATTAAATCATAGAGCTATGCATGCAACCTTAATCATGGGTATTAAATCACAAGAATTGTAATAATTATTTGGGTTGTTTCTATCATAAGTGTGAACTTACACCCCATTTCTTAAAGCACAGAGTTTTAAACAATTTTAGGTTTGGTGCTTAATTCCTTTAGTTAACTAGATATTTATGAATACTTTTGTCAAACAAAATTCTTTCACACTCTCTCTCTAGCTGAGGTTGAATTGATTAGTAAAATGAATTTAAAGAAAAATGCTTTTACATTTTAGTATATTAAAAATTATGTTGGCATTTATTATTGATGATTATAACAGCAATTACATTTTATAGTTAAATTTCTAAATGCCCACTTTCATTAGACTTGCTTTCAGCTATAGGTTTACAGTTTAAGCAAACTTAAATATCTCTTCCCCCTAAGCAGTTCATTTTAAAGACATTACAGAAAACTTTCAGCTTTCTTGATAGCACTATATGAAATTTTCAACTTTTATATAAAAATTAAAACTTTTTTTACTATATTTTGAGAAATAATGTTTTTATAAAGGCTTCTACTGTTAATAATTCATAGACTATATTTTGTAGACTATCAAGCACAGTGGTGTCACAACCACTTAATGATCCAGCAGATGCAAACCACATATTTTACCAAATGGAAATAAAACTTTTCCCCAATAAAAAACAATGAAGAAAATTATTTTAAAAAGTTCAGTTGCAATTTGCAAGCTTTTACACTAAAGAAATTGCAAAATTGCAAATTCCAATAAAGAACAATGAGAATCTTAATCACAAATTGTGATGTATGCAAATGAAATAGTTATCCAGGTGTCACGACTCTAAATCTTTGCTGAACTATGTTTGCAACCTTTCATTTATGGATTTTACTCCATTAAATATATGAGAATCAATCTTCAAATCTATATTGAATGACAAGTCTAAAAACCTAGAATGCACATTTATTTAGATGACCTAGATACCTCTAAATCTTTTCTAGCTATTTAAAATATCACTTATGTCAATAAAGGCAATAATGTCCTGCTTGCAAGCCATAATTAACTAGCAGTCCAGCCTTAAATGAAATACATAATGTTCTGTAACAAAAACAATTCCTAAATTAAAGTTTTACATTTGATAAAATTTGTACTGCACCTAAACAATAATGTAACATGCAATGGTTTTTGAGATGAGAGAAATTAAACATACCTTCATTACTTTTTCTTTTTTTGCCAGGAAAGGAATATCCATATGATAGAAGCAAGTGTTAGAATTATATCATTAAGATTAACTATGTTTCTCGGAAAAAATATATGAGTACTTTAATAACTCACTTAAAGTCATTCTTCAGAACAAAAAATATTACAATTTATCCACAGCTGTATTTGAAGGAACTACTTCCACTCAAAATTTAACTTTTAACCAAATTTATCATATTTTGTTATTAGCAAAATGAAAACTTGTAAAGATAACCAAATAGATTTAGTGTAATTCAAAAAAAGGATGTACAAACTTACTCTCACTTCAAGGACCAGTTCAGTATTCTCAGGCATTTCTTCATCCTCACTGTCACTTTCCTGCTGTACTTCAACATGATGAAAAGCTTTTTCAACTACTTCTAGTCCTAATTTAAGGGCCAGAGTGATTTTAGGAATTAATTCTGCCTCTCGTTGTTCTTTTGTTTTCTGTTAAAATAAGAAACACAGAAAAGTTCAGCCAAGACCGAATCATTCATTTTTAATTTATCGACTGCATTTTTATGTTCTTTTAGTCTAAATTTGAAATTTCTATATGCCTACTAAATATAATTTAACCCACAACTACATGAAATTTCATGTATTCCACATTTATCCTTTGGTTCAGTTTTACTTTTCAATCCATTAATAATATTAATTAACTTTAATTTAGGTGTAAAGGTTATTTGACATTCCATATATTTCATAAAAAACATTACCTATTTGTGTTGACCATGATGGCAAACATATTCTTACTCTATTTTCCTCTTTGGTTGTCTGTAACTTGGTACACTCAAATATTTGTTATTGTTATGAACCCTATCTATGATATTAGGTATATATCCCCTATCAATAGCTATATATTACATCTTCCATAACTAGAAAATATTAACAGTCCTATGTACAAAAGATGAAAAATAAGAACATTTTTCGTAATAATGGGTGACATAATCATGTATGTGGCAACACTACACAAGTGTGCTAGTTGAAGAAATATTATGTGAACAGATCAGATTCAGGTAAGATGGGGAAGAAGAAGAATGCTCAGTGTTATGTGGGATCAATCAAGTCATCATGACAGTGAGAGCTGAAGAGATAAAGGGAGAGAGATAAAAGATACAACAGGGAATCTCTGCAAATATTCCATTGATTTGCCAAGTTCCACTGAAAGCAATACATATGAGCACTTCCAAGAGGAAAAAGGGACTAAAGTAAAGCTAGAGTCCCCAGCCAATGTCTCGACAAAGTAAAGGAGATGGCTGAACCTACCCTGTAAACAAGTTGAAAGGCTCCCAAGTGAACCAGATCCTAAATGGGAGTTGAGACGAACTTGGAGAATTTGACCAACTAATCCAAACAAGATGCCTCCCAAAGAAAAAGATAGGTCACAGCTGTGGATGCTTCTTTGGACGGAGCAAGAAGGAGCCCGTTGTTCATATAGTAGTGAAAATGGAAACCCAGCATATGTATCCTCTGTGCAAATGCAATCATGACCCTAATGAAAATGTGACATCATGGCCAACTAAAAGTGGAAGGATGTGGAAATAAAAAATCCAATCATCATATGGAGAAAAGCATTTAAAACATTGACTTTGGTCATCTACAGCCTTGGAAACAACACCTACTTCAGATTGAGAAAACCAACCATCCCAAATTGAGAGATGACAAAACAATGGTTAACAGGTGAGAGATCTGTGACAGGGTGCCAATCTCCCATTTACTTTGGAACGATAAAAAGATGGAAGTAAGTACTACAAGAGTGGTTGAGGAGCTGTTCTACAGCATTCATAACCCACAGAAAAGACATAACCTCCACTAGTTGCCGAAAGTATGCAAGATTGCAGGGGAGTGGAAAGACAACAGAGAAGGAAAAAGATAAGATTCAGTGTGAAATGACAGAAAAGTCCATGGATAAGCATCTGTGTGCCTCAAATATCACCTTCAAAGAGAGTTCACAGATGTACAAAGAGGAAGAACTGAGAAGTGGCTCTAAATGCAAGTCATTTCCATGATCCACAGCAAAAGTCAGGAATCCTAGAACACAGTTCAGAAAGGAACCAACCACTTGGTGCACAATAGTGTTAATATCAATAGTTATCAGAGTTTATCCAGTTGCCATTATAGTATTGGATGACTCCTACTGAAGAGTCAGAAACTTGGGAGACATCAGAAATGTGGAAATATGAATGCATAATCCACACAATCATGAAACCAACTGTTTTTTTAGAAATAAAAATTGGCATGCCATGTTGAAGGTGCATAGGCCTAGGTGACTAGCTTAATGATGAAAATGAAGAGAACATAACAAACCCATACACTGGGTTATAACAATGGAAAAATAGTACTGTCAAAAAAAACCTTATCACAGACAGTGGGACATGTCCCAAAATTACAAATTTGATTAAAAAAGAAAATCATATTAAAGATAAATGAAATAAAAATTTGAACTGAAATGTTTAAAATTTGGTATTTTCTTTCTTAAAATAAAGAATATTAAAGAATTTGTTTTGAATTTCGCACAAAGCTACACGAGGGCTATCTGTGCTAGCCATCCCTAATTTAGCAGTGTAAGACTAGAGGGAAGGCAGCTAGTCATCACCACCCACTGCCAACTCTTAGGCTACTCTTTTACCAACGAATAGTGGGATTGACTGTCGCATTATAATGCCCCCACGGCTGAAAGGGCGAGTATGTTTAGCGTGACAGGGAATCGAACCCACGAGTCAAGTCCCCTAACCACCTGGCCATGCTGGGCCAATATTATAGAAAGAAAGACTATACTACAAATGGTAAAAAAAAAAAAAATACCATTACTTCCTGAGAAAGAACATACCTGAACAAAGCAGTGCCAAGGAAAGAAGGTGCCTTTGTTTAAATTCCAGTGCTCATGTGGATTACTGCACATGGAGGATGTTTGTGTTGCCCTCCTACTGGTGGAGGACTATAGTCTAATGATGATTATATTATAGGCTGGCACAGTACACATTAATATGTGTAGGAGTGAGAGCTTTGTTCAAGTCTTGAGGCATGTGCAAAAATCTTCATGGCAGTGGTTCAAGATAATAGCTCTTTACTGTGAAGAGAGGTGAGTAAACATCTCTGAAGTGAATACTTCTGACGTATTCAATTCAATATTTGTAAAGAGTATCGCATCAACTATGATGTCTATAAACAAACTAAAGATATGTTGTTTTAGATCCCCATTATCCTCACTGTACTAAAGAACAATTAACTAATTCTTTAAAATCTAATACAGTGATGAATACCAAAAATCATATTAGCTCAACATAGGATACCAACACAATCAATATCATCAAACATATAACAAATAAAAGATTTTCACAATTGTAATATTGTTATTATCACTGCCATAAAAGTTAATGACAGATAACTTGTAATAGCTCCTTAAAGCATAATACAGTGATAATTACAGTTAAGTATATTGAATAAATTGTGATAGCCACTCAAAGTGCTATACAAGGATCACTACCACAACCATGTTACACAGATGTAATACAGGAGCATTGTTTTACCAGTACTTCTATTTCAGATTACACAAAAATGTCATTTCTTGAGACATTTTTGAAGTTTAGACTAATACAAACTTTCATGTTATTTACTACATGCATCAATTTCAAAACTAATTAGCTAAAAACTAAACTTTATTAACTAACATACAAAACATAAGATTATTTCACAGTGATACTTCAGGTTTTAATTATTACCTATCAGTTATTAATTCAGAATGTGTTGAATACTAAAACTTTAGTATATTCTAAAAACAAAGTGACTTTTAATAAGTGCTTAATTACACATACAAGTAAACATAAAAAAGTAACTGCAGAGACATATTTAACTAAATAAATGTTTAATTAATACTTGTTATCACTGAAACATTGTTGATGTGTTGTAAAAAGCATATGAATTATTCTTACCTTTTTTGTACCACTAAATTATTTCAAAATGTTTAATAACTAGAAAAAAGAGCTTAAACATTAAATGTGAATTTTATATTTTGATATCCAAACTTTGGTAATGCTACGTGATATAATCTTTAACAGAAAGTATTTTCTACCATTAATAAAAGATATTTTTGACCCACTGTGTATACTTGTAGCTATTCATAATAGCAGATATGCAGAATCAGCAAAATCTTTCAGGCAAAATACCCTAACTTTTTAAACTTTTTACTTGCTGCTTTGGTTTAGCACACCATGTTTAGCTTTGAAAATCAGACCCCTAGTATTTAAATTAGTATCTCTGCTGGAGAACAGTAATAGTGTCAAGAAAGAGCACATCATCATGTCAGAAAGTCATTACATCTATTTTATTAATTTTCAATTTAATTAAGTACACTACAAACTAATATAAACCACCTGGTCTTACATGTATGTCCAGTAGGGTGAAAAGAGCAACATAAAGCTTAAAAAGCCTTTTTTCCAAAGAGTAATGTTATAATAACAATAGTGATATTTTGTGTACATTTGGAGATGATCACCCAAATAGTATTATCTACTAAAAGCCTGTCATTTAATAAAAATAAAGATTTTTTTTTTTGAATAATGTTTTGTTTTTAAAAGAATTATCTGTGTAGTGACCAAATTCTTTGGCACATATTGTGCAGGATTTGTCTACAGCCCTGTCCGAGAAATCCATCAAAATGAAAATAATTTTGTTATGTAAGAAATATATCATTGCTTGAAATTTGTTACATTGCACCTGCATGATTTGCCAATCAAATGCAGATTTTGTAGGTATTCAATTAAGTTTTATTAAATCTCTGGTGTAACTAGCCAAAAATGCAGTTATTAGCTAATGAAAGCAAAAGAAAGTGTGTGAAACAGCAGTCAGGCATGCCTAACAGGAACCACAAAAACAAACAGTAAAATGAACCCAAACACTAAAGTTATTATCTATGTTGTATAGCAAGCTATATTGTAATTTGTGGATAGCTTCAAAATAATGAAAAACGTACATAGTTAAAAGTTGAAGCAAAATGCAACTCTAAAGACAAATATAGATACCATATGCTGAAAGTTATTTGAGCTGCTATGCTTGCAAATAAGTACACAAGAACTAACCACTGAGTACTATTTTACAGCTTTTCTAAACCTTAAAAATGAATTTGAATGGAAGAGACAGATTGAAATTTGAAATCTACTGATTCATATTTTTACTTATAATGCATTTCAGGTTGAAGTAAATTAGCATAATAGGCAAATTACGTTCTTAAATTATAGCTCATAGAGTCAGAAGTAAAATAAAAACACAAAGGTGATTTCCTCATAGCAACCGAATATTCAATATTCAAAAATTTCCCTTTCATTACATGTCTGAATATTTTCAATATTAGAAATCCTATATTATATATGCCAAACTTACCCTCACATCAACAGTTTAACAGCCATTTACATAATTTATTATTTTCTTTTTTACAGTCAAAAAGGCTAAACAAAAATCAAAAAATTTAAACAATCAATTTACTGACTTGGTCATCCGTACGTTTTGGTTCTATTATAGGCTCTTCCTGGATTTCTTCATCATAGACTCTCTGCAAAAATAAAAAGCATTTTTCTTGTGAACATACAAGGTAATTATTTGTAAGAATTTTTTTTTATACTGAGACAATATGATTTTTCACTTTTGAATAACAAACTATTATAGGCATGAAATAAATCTTTTTATCTTACACAGAAGAGAGTTTTCAGAGTTGGAACATCTAATATTTTCAGGTACAATAATTCAGTAAAAGAACAGTTCAAATCATTTAATAATAACAAAACAAAAACAGAAACTTGTCTAGAATTCATGGAATCATGCATGAATATCTCAAAAAAAAAAGCAACCAATCTTTCTTTTTGCTCAAAAGAATTGAAAAACTTTGTAATTCTAGACACGTCTTTATCAGATTTAAAACTATGAGAGAAAAGTAAAGTTACTATCTACTTGCTCTTAGTGTAAAAAAAGACTGTAGAACAAATTCACTAACTCTGGTAAGCCTTTGAAAATTTAATGTTGAAACAAATGTTAAAACAATGTGTATATAAATATTTGACAAAATACCTACATATTTACATTCTGAACGAAACATATTAAATACATTGACTAATCCTAATTAGTTAAATAAAAGGCTCATTTGAAATTGGCATTGAAAAACTATTTAATATTTCTTAATAAGCTTTCAAAAGTAAAAATAAATAAAAATATTATGCCTTATGTGAGAATAATTACAGTCAAACTACGACACTTCCTAGAATACCCCTTTTTTTTCCTTCAAGTGTGTGGAAGGCATCATAAGCCAAACTGTGATAACTACCTAACATGTAAATAATAATCTTTTATACAATATTTTCAATTTTTCCTGCAAGATAGATTGAGAAGAAAAAGTACTGGTAGTAAGGTGCACATAAAAATAACTTTTACATAAAACCTGTGTATATAACCAAGTGCACTGTTAATCAATATGTTCATCAAATCAGTGTTTGGATCTTTCCCATGGCTCCAATATAATGTAAAATTTATATCTGAATGCTAACTTTCAATACTTACATTTTCAACAAACTGAGTATTGGAAAGCATGGTAAAATCATTAACAATATTGCTCACTCGAACTCCTGTGACCTAGTTTAAAAACAAAATGAAACACTTAACAGTCTTAAATTAAACCTATTTCAAACACACAACAAATTCACATATCAAAACTAAGGGAAATATAGCAACATTTGGACTTAAAAAAAACAGATATAAAAAATTTTCATAAAATTATAGCACCATTTAAAATATAAATCTAATCTGCTTATTAAAATGTAATGCAAGTAATATGGCTTGAGCTTAACTCACAATTGAATCTTACTACTACTACTACTTTAATTACTGGGACAATTTTTATCACCTCCCTTGAAAAGAGGAGTAACATTAGCCAATTTACAAATGATCCAACATTCTGTCCACTATTCAAGGAATTACAAAAAATAATAGCAAGTCACTCACATATCCAATCTTCAACCTCCTTCAAATTCCTTGTAGAAATATTATCTAGCCCAAGAGCCTTATCATTCTTTAAACTTCCCAATTTCACTAATCTCAGGTGAAGGAAAAAAGACAAATTGTATTGAATATGGATTTTGTGTAGTAAGGCATGGGAAAAATCAAAAGACACAGAGAAAGAAAAGAAGATCCCTGTGAAATCATATCAAGGTAGAAATTAGAAGGGAGAGAATTTTTCCTCAACATATAAAGCAAACCTTGATGGGGAAATAGCCAGTCAAAATCATCACCTTGATTATGTTCAAACCGGGTTGAAGAAACATCATCTGAATAGATGGAAGAAGGAGGAGTGAAGTTAAAAAAAACCACAAACACAAAACCCACAGAAAATTCAAACAAAATTTAACTCAGTTGTATACTACCACAAATCTCAAGTAATTGCTTAACAATTCTGGAACACGTCCATTCGTTTTTTAGATGGGAGGTAGCTCAAGGTTAGTGGCATGCAAATCTCATAGGCAAGAGCATGTAGGAGACAAGCTAGTGTGTGTGTGTAGGAGTCAGGTATCATCCTGGAATTTATACTTTCAGTCTTGATGGAAACATACATCTCCCAGTTGTGGGGATGTGGTTAGATATTTATCTGTTTGATATTCATTTTAATTTTAAAATAGGAATATTAAACAGTTGTTCTTGTGACTCCTTCTGTTTTTCTTCTCTATCTCTATGTGAGTATTTTGGCTTTTGTTACAGAGCTTTTGTTACGGCTTTGTTTTTCACCAAAATTTGTGGTTTTTAAGCAGGAAGGCAACAACCTAGACCACAGCAATTGAAAATGTGATCCAGTAGAGTTACAGGAAATCCAGAACCAGATGAGCTTCACTGCACTAGATTTATGGGAAAACAAGTGGAGTGGACCAACCTCATAAAAGACGAGACCAATTGAGGACATTCAAAAATGCATTTTTCTTAGCAAGGTACCTTCTTGCCTTTACCACCTTTTAACCCACTGTTCATAGGCTCAGTCAAATTGACTGATCCAGTATCTGTGAGGTTATATGTAATAAGCCTGGATAAATGATAATAAAGAATAAATATTCTACTTTATTTTCTGCAATGTTTCGAGCAGATACCTTAGAAAATAAACTACAAAAAGCTATCATTTAGATGTATCAATTACTTTTCATTATCATTTATCCAAGTGCAAACAACAACAGAGTTAGGCCTCCATTTTTGTCACTTAATTCTTCACACAAAAATTATTGGAGTTTTCAAATATACATATACAAGTTCCTGCACCACTAACTTCCTGCACCTAATCTAATCTTAACTAACCAAAAAAAAGATCCCTATTTGTTACATTTTAGTTATTTTTATAAGAATAAATAAAGAATAAGCATGACAAACTAGAAATAAAGTACTTATCCAATCTTCTTTTTTCTTGCTGTCGATTGTTGATGACACTTAACCTTACTTTTTATACTAATGGAAGTAATACACTAAATACTTTTTATTTAATTAAATAATGCACCAAAGAACATAGACTAATAACATGCAAAAAGTAGACAATTTCTCCTAACTCTCAAAAATTTTTCTGGCTTTGTAACTATGCAACAAGAGCCATTACAGGTTCATTCAAGCTAGTCGTCAACAGTGAAACTGGCAATTACCTGTTCAGAACACAATAAATCATTTGATAGATGAAAACCTTGACTTTCTATTGGTATTATAGGTAATATATGATTAAACATAAGAGAAAACTATTAAAAAATCCTGAAAGGGAGGATGTCACAAGTGAGTGTGGCAAGAGGGGTCCGATTTTCTATTTGATAACTCTGTAACCAAATATAATTGAAGGCTATAAAAATCATGGTTTGTCTGAGCAATGAGAATTTTATAGTGAGTAATTTACTTTTAATTTCGTACTTTTTGAATGGGTTGTGGATAAAATAGGGAAGAGAAGATGCCTAGAGAAAATGTGTCACACAAGAGGAAATTCAGGATTTTTTTAAATATTGCCTTGTAGAATTAAGAACTTAAAACTTATATACTACTAAAATATGGATTATTATCTAAAATTTTATGCTATACTAATTAGTATAACATAAACAAAAAGTAGTTTAATAAAATTTTGAATGGAAGTCACTACAACCTTGTGTCATGAGCAGTAAAGGATAACCATGGTGATAGGGTTAAACTATTTGCAGCACTGAAACACTAAATCTCACCTTTGCTTCATGAAGCAATCCATCCACTGTTTTCTCCATCTCATGAGTTGTGGAGATCATTCTTTGAGAAAAATCTTGAAGGAAATTCAGGAGCTGAAAATCAAAATTTAAATATCTAATATGACTTTTGAGAAAACATCATTACATAAAGTAAAAAATATGTTATTGTTTTGCTTTTAATTAAAAATATAAAAAAATCACATTTAAATAAAGCCTGTTTTAATCTTGTTTTTCTATATAAGTAATAATTTTCAAACTCACAGCACAGAAAAAGATCCAATAAATAAAAGACTACTGTTATATTTTTTAACAATTTTAATGACACTGTGTATACATTATAATTCACTGAATAAATAGGAATGATATAATTCTATCATACCACAACTTGTTTTTTTGCTTTTGAACTATACAGTAGCATTGATCATGATGACGTATCAGATTTGCAATGTAAAAGGTATAGTAGTGCTTAATGCTCAATTTAGGGTGGTCCTGCAAGTTTCATTAGTGGTGGCCCTGTTTTGTTAATTCACTAGTTCTATATCTTAATATTTATTTCAAAACATAATTAAAAATCAATAATAATTTCAAATTTTCTAAAGACTCATTTTTTCTTTTTTAATAATAATCACTACATTTCTACCCTTTTCACATAATAATTACTATTAATAACTACCTTCATGTGAAAATAGATTATCTCCCTATACCTTCATCCAGTCTCTGACCCTGCAGAAGGCCCATAAAGCAAGCAGCTCTTAGGTCATTTAATTAATTAGTAATTTGATCATATTTCCTTACATAAGGCATTAGGCTATTGCTCTTTCCAAGGAAGGGTATTCTTACTCTTCTGTAAAAGTTACATAGAAAAAAAAAGGAAAGTAGTACTAGGTGACAGCCCTAAGGCTTGCACTGACAAATGATGATCTCTCATGTGGAGACAAGCTGCCTCAGAAGAGTTAGCATAAAGTTTCTTTACTGGTGTTAGCAATGGCCATCTCACTGTATATTATTCTACTGATTTCCTATCTTTTGTTTTCCTAGCTGCAACATTTGATACTTTTTTTTAGCGGTCTCACTCCTTCTGAATGTCGATGAAGCATACCTTGGTTGCCACTTTCACTTTTCTAGCACAGAGGAGGTTGATATCCTGCTAGTAGGGTTGTGTAGGATTTGATAAAAGGGATTCTTTTGTGAGCTTCCTCATTTAGTTTTACCCCTATATGGCCTGGTATAAAATCCAGGTGATGATCTTTACTCTCTGCCATAGACTTGGAAATCAACCAATGAATTTTGTACAGTTATGCTTGCAAGTCAGTTGTAAATATTATATTGGAAGTATTGTCTATTTACAGCTCACTGCTTTCAGAAATCCAGAGAAGAACTTACTTTATTACTTCCAGCTCCCCTCTTGTGCCACTTAAGGGAAGCTTGAATGCTCCATGATCCTTATGTAGAATAATGTTGTTCTGCAAGATGATAAATACCCAACTAGATTTTTCACTGTTTGTTTTGTAAGAACCATCTGTGCCTATGATGACAGGTTAGTGTGCAAAACGATCTTTAAGTAGTACTGAGAGCATTTTTCTGCTTCACCCTCTGCCCAATCTCTACATTTTATGTCTAGACTAATTTCCACAGCTTCTGTCTTAATATTTTTTTAAAAACATCATCAAAAATCTAAAATTTCAGATATTCTAAAGGCTTATAGAAAACTCTTTTTTCGTTTTAAATAAAATTTGCTACACTTCTAGTTCTTCCTCATAATAATTACTCTGAAAATTACTCATGTGAAAATATGATACAATAATACTCAATTAAAACAAGGAGAAAAACCCAGAAAGTTCTAGTAACATGATGCAATAAGATAACAATCACCAATTCATAACTAGTGAAATACATAATGTACGATTTGTAAACAGTTATGTAAATAAACTTGCAATAAACTATCTCTTCTAAAAATAATTAAATTTAACACTCACATTAAACTTAAAATGAAACAGTCCTGTATATCTAACAATCACTATGGGGTGTTTCTTTTTCAGAAGTAGTTGCTTTGAGTTTGACATCACTGTGGAGATTTTTAGAATGCTTTATACCACTTTGTCTTCCAGTGTTCATGCACACCTCATATATCAGGTAATCACTACCAAACTCCTCTATGCATAGTAGAGAAGATACTCAAGGTGGAGTAAGGAAAAGCAAGGTCTATACAGGAGTTTTTGTTGCATTGGAACTTGGCAATTCTTGGTAGTTCACACAAGCTTAGTGGTATAAGGTTGATAACTATACTGTGGAAAGCAGAAACTAAACATCTGCCATTATTGTTTTCACCTACAGTGGGGTGTCTACCATTGAAGTCTCCTACCATTAGATACACAGGAATGTTGTCAGACAAGAGCTTTCAATCTTTAAAATTATGTGTTGTGTTATCTTTCAAGTATACACTGATGATTCAGATATAAATGGGTAACTTCAGGTGTGTTATCTGATTGGTTTCAATAATGATTTTTCCATTGAGAGCTGTCATAATGTTCATAACTGATGTTGCAGTTGTGCTAGTCTGCAATGACCATCCCAAGTTCTAGGACAGCATGTGGTACAAAGTTAAAGCTTGTGACAGTGAATTGCTCAGGGTCTTGAAAGTGTAAGATGTCAAATATTCAGAGATCTTCTACAGGCAGAATTACCTTTCTCTGATACCCCGATATCATAATAGCCTATCATCATATGAAACTTGGAGAGTCTGGTGCATTTTTTATGTACAAATCATTTAACTGCCATGTTTAATTTAAGTGCATTGCAGAGTTGTTAATTATGTAAATTTAGTAGACATTAGGTTTTAGTTTCAATTACACAGGTAGTTTGCATGTCATTGTGCTAAAAACAGTGTTACCATGTGTTCAGTTATGCATAATACAGTGTTATTATATGTTGGTTATAGTTCTGGTGTTTATTCTTAATTACACTGGAATTACTGTGAAATGAATTCTAAGCTACAGAATTATCAGTAATGTTAGAGTTAGCTTGCATTTGTTCTAATACATGTTCAAAGCATCAAGTCAGAGAAAGGGAGTAATCTATTAGTACAATCAGTCCCAGTTTTAACCATCTGAAGCCTAGTCATGTGCATAATAGGGAAGGATGAATCTGGTTATAGGATCATCAACCAATACAAATTAGATATGTAAGATAGGTAAGTTGACAGATCAAATGGAGATGACACTTCACCGCACTTTATTATTAGAGGAAGCATTTAAGGCATTACAGATGCTTCTAGGAGAGAAAACTGAATATCCTATGTATGCCATACATCCACGTAAGTTACAGCAAAGGTGTGCACATTAATGAGCGTATAGTAGATGCTGTGTACAGATGATTACCCAAATAAAGAAATGTTTTGTCATGTATGATATACAAGTGGCCTGAGATGTGCTACCTACTGTGACATCATAAGCTGGCATCAGCAGTTCTTCTTATTCATACAAACAGAAGTGACTGTAGCTGAGAGAGAGAGGCTACAGAAAAGTTATGTTAACTTCTCTAATGATGGAAATAAATTGATAAACAAAAAGGAGATACATACACATAAGCAACAGTTTAACAGCTTCATGATAATTTCAGGATTTTCCATGACAACGAATATTTAGATATTTTGGATATGGATGTAGAATAAAGTCTTATATTTTGTTTTTATCATCAGTTTCTTGATTGATTCTTTGATTCACACGTACACTGAGTGGTCACAAGTAAATAGACACCTAATTTTTCGTCATTTAACTGATTTATGCTAACTAATTT